AGCATCTTGAGGGGAGAATATAGATGATAAGGGAACAGTTAGTCAACACATTTGTACTTGGACTCACAACATGCAAGGCATACTGTATAGTCATTGTGGGCAGAGGTATGAGACAAAGCCTTTGTCCTCAAAAACCTCACATTCTGAGTGTGAGAAAAATAACACACGAAAGTGAAAGTAAATGTCAGCAGGAGGGCCGATTTATTTATCCAGAGACTGTTGGGTGTTGAGAATGAGTCACTTCGTAATGGTGATGATAGTCTAAGGACCGCAGATGTGGGGCTGGCCCAGGATTGGATTATGAAACCTCCAGAACTGGATGGTTTGCATATATGCACATATTTTTTTCCTAAGAGGGAGAATTGTCAAATTGCAATTTTCATATTCTCGAAGGATTTTGTGAATCAAAAAAGATTAGAAGTATTGCCATAGGAAATCAATTTAATCATGGCCTTAAAAGATTGCTTAAATTATAGAAGGAGGAAGGATATTTCAGAAAGTGGGGACAGTGCAAGACATAAGCAAAGAAACATTCTGAGATACAAAACTGCAGAGCATGCCTGGAAATGGTTTTAGACATGTGTGATCAGGACAGGGGATTAATACAGAACAATGAAGAAACTGAAGCTGGAAAATAGGTGGGGACTGAAGTGAGGGACAACCTTAAATGAAAACTAGGAAACTGGACTTTCTCCTGTAGACCATGGGGAATCACTGGATTCAATTCAATGTAAAACCATTGAGCATTTGTTGCATATAAAGCAATGAGTGGTATCCTTGTTAGGGCGCTGGGGATGGGAGATACACTTGTAGGTAGAGAAGGGTTAAAATTTCCACAAAGCATAACAATAGTTAGCAACAATTAACATTTTTTCCCTGCTTATTATGGGCCAGGCCCTGTGCTAAGGGCTTTAAGTGAATTATCTAATTCAGTGTTCACAGCTCTATTGACATGTACCCTAGGCGGGTAAGGGGAATTTAAACCACTTGTTGTAAGTCTAGGAGAAGTGGAGTCATTCGAACACAAGCAGTGTAACTCCAGTGTCCTAGCTCGGCAACTCTCTGTAGACTGGCACACAGTATTCTGACTTATTGCTGCAGCCAGAGATGGCCATGACACCTGCATCTCATCACCACCAGCGGTACTGGCCCCACTGGAGACACCCTGGAGTTCGCCGAGTGGAATGTGAAGTGATAAAACACATACTGCATGTTTCTATAAACTACCAACTTTATTTCAAGACTTGAAAAGATGTATAAGAAAACAGATATGGGCATATTACGGTTGTAAACCTCACAGTAATCTTTTAATGAACATATTGCATACCATGTGTACAGAAAAGTGAACAATCATAAGCATCCAGCTCGGTATAATTTCACAAAGCAAACACGTCCAAGTAACCAGCACTCGGGTGGAGAAATGGAACTTACAGCACTCCAGAGCCCTCACTGGCTCTTCTCTGACACTGCCCCCAAAGGTCACCACCATCCTGACTTTCAACACCAGTGGTTCATTTGTCCTGGTTTAGATTTTTATATAAATATATTCACTTAGTATGTTCTCTCTGCAGTTGGCTTCTTTTCCTAACATTTTGTTTGTAAGATTCACCTGTATTGTTGCATGTGGCAGTAGTGCGGCTATTTAATCGACATCAGTTCTTAAGGTAAAGCATGATGCCACCACAAAATTATCTGTCATTCTAGGAACATACCTCAGGTTTTTGAGAATGCAATTAAGTCTCCTATTCCCTCTGGTCACTTTGGTGACAAAGTTTGAGCAACACAGGAATAAGCACTGAATTTGGAGTCAGGAAAATAGATTCTAGTTCTCATCCCCTCCTCGCTGTGTGGCCTTGGGCAAGACACGTACGTTGTCTGAACTTCACTTCCTGCATTAGTACAATTTGGAAGTAGAGCTCAAAAGCCTCTTCGGTCTACTGCAGTATGAGTTGTCTTTGCTTCCATCTGAAGCTGAATGGGCTTAACTTAAGGAAAGTTCACAGAGGAAATCAAGTTTTTCCAAAATAAGTCTATTTTTTTAATTATAAAAGAAAAACATGTTTGTTGTAGCCGTTCAAACAACACTGGGCTGCATAAAGGAAAATTTATTAACTATTCAGTCTTACCTTCCATATACACAAAAACAATGTTAGTTTGGTGTTATGCTTCTATATATTTTGTTGATACAACTTTAAGTTCACTTACTGAGCTTTACTATTGTTGTTTTTGAAATAGAATCACACTGATTCATTTTATTCTATAATTTCTTTTCATGAAATTTCTTGCTAGATTGGAACATACGTTTTTGTTCGTTTAGTGTCTGCAGAATGAATGAGCGTACAGTGAGCCGTGGTGTGCATGCGTCGTAATCAATCAGCCGCCCTGCTCTTGTTGATATTTAGGTGGTTTCCAATCTTTTTGCTATCGTGATAGGCTGCAATAAACATTTCTGTCCATATATTATTAAACCCTAATGGTCTTCTTATGTATGACAGAAAATAGTCAGGTTGTTTTCTTAAAAAGTTGCTTAATTTGCATCTCAGTACTCCAGTTTTGAGCAGATTTGAATGTGCAATCTGCAGCAAGGAAGATGAGATATTTAAACAATTTTCATGATTTCAAAAATGTATAGAAAATGGAATGCTGAAAAATAAAATACTGAGTATATCTCTAAAGGCTCCTGTTGGAAATTGCTGCAGTCTAAAATCGGAAATGTGGGGAGAAGAAATATTTTTCAAAGTAACACAAAACATGATTTTAGCCCCCCAAATGCAATATCAAGAATTAAAAGGGAAAAAAAATCCTTTCTAAAGTCTCAGAAATAAATATTTGTGTTATTCTGTAGACAAGCAGCTGAGTTGACTGATTATTTAAATTTTGTTTCAACACGAACCAGAAAAAAACTTACAGTAACTTGTGGAGGCCTAAAGAAACATCTTCCCTGACCTGCTCTCCCAACCTTAGCAACTCGCCTCTCAGGCTCCTGCCTCCTACAGGCTGGGATAACAGATGGACGTCTCAGGTAAGATGGACAAACATTTCCAGTTAGGCTTTTTGAAGGGGCAGTAATACATAGAGGAAGATTTATTCACCCTGTCCATGTTTCACTTTGAGGCTGGTTGGAAGAAATCATTTTTCTTTATCCAGTAAGATCCGAAACACCAAAAACTCCACTACTCCATCAAGAGAGAATGAGATGGAAACTTCTGTCAGAAGAGGGGGTGGGTTTGGAGAAAGGAAGGGCAAAATGTTTAGGAGATCATCGAGAGAGGGAGAAAGGGACACCTGAGAGGAGCAACCCTCTGACACACATCCTGATTCAAGGGGAAAAGTGAAGGACACTTTGCACCACCTCTGCCCTCTGTGTGCGGGCTTGGGTGTCTGTGAAAGTTTTATTTCTGGTGGTGAACTGTTCCTTCCTGTCCTTCCAAGTTTTAAGGGCGTAGCTAAGAGGTTGCATCTACGATGTGCAAGGCACGATTCAGTGATAACGTGCTCTTCTTTGCACCAGAAGATAATGCTACTATTCATCCTCATGGTGCATGTTGTTTTCTATTCACAGGGATAATTTTACTCTAATCCTGCCACTCCGTTTCCTTGGACTCCATGGAGACCAGCTGCTCCTGTGAGCAGGCAGCTGGTGGAGGCTGCTGAGCAGCTAACTGGCCAGCATGGGAAAGAGCCTGTGACTTCCACTCACGGACTGAAAGCTCAGTCATCAACGAAGTGTGAGCTTGAGTCCCTTGGAGCCAGGTTGTCAGCGCTCCAGTGCTTACAAATTGTGAAGAGTAATCCAGTTTACCTGTCTTCATTCAATCTCAATTTTTTATCCATAAAATAGGAATAATAATTGCCCTCTCATGGTGTTTTTGAGGGGACTTAATAAGCTAAAAGGATGTAAAACATTTATGTCAGCAACTAAATAGGCACTATTTGACACTTCCAGCAAAAATTATTATTATTATTATTATTATTATTATTATTATTATTATTATTATTATAACAACAGCAACGTGATGCCTTTCCTTCGTAAGTAATTCTTACTGTGTCAACTTGGGCCAGGAAGAGAAACAGCTGGTCACACTCTAGGCATTAAAAGCAGTGGCCAACAGAAAAGCCTTGTTCTCATCAATGTGTGTGTGAATAGGTGGAGAGATGTTTATGGAAAGTCTTACGCAAAATTTAAAGTGATCAGAAACTCTCCTATTGCACCTCAGAGAATCCTGAGAATGTCTGTGTTTGAAAAATTCTTTGCCTGATTCCTAGTTTGAGTTAGAGTTTAAACCCTTCTCTTCATTTCGGGTCTTACAGTCTCCACCTGTGAAGTTGTTCTTCCTTCTGAATGAGATATTTGTTGATCATACTGTGCCACTGTCAGAGACTTGACATATAACCACACCTATTCACCAGCTGGTGGATGGCCTGCCCTTCATTCTTAATTCTTTAATCATGTTAAAGTTTTCTATACTATGACACATCTCACGAGACTTTCGGGAAATGCTAAGAAACTTTCTCTGCAGAGATAAAAATAATGATGCTGAGTCATTTCCTTTGTTGCTCTTTGAATTTCCATATAAAGTTATCAACTGAGTATACCTTGCCTGGTCTAGCAAGTATGCTTGCTTAACGTGGGTTAATACTGGTGTTATTAGTCACTTCAGTTGCTCAAGAGCTGAGATCAGGTAGGCAATCCCTGAGTTCATCTTTAAAAAAAAAAAAATAGATGACTGTAGTCATATTCAGGAATAAAAGGCTCTGTGGCTAATGAATGACCAAAAATGATCTCAGCAGAATTGAGAGCATTTCATAGTAACACATACTGACCCAGAACTCTGAAAATGCTGGAGGCCAGAAGTTTGGTGTTCCTCATTCTTTTATTTTTCCCTGCAATTGGTCATTGTCTTTCCATTTATGAATTTCTTTTTTTTACTCTTTTGATAGAGTCTGTCCTACTCCAAATTCTCTGCTTATTTGATTTTTAAACAGAATTTGTGGTTTGAATTAAACGCCACTTTTTGGAAATTGACTTTATTTGAAAAACACCTTTCTACAATTTTTTTTTTCCTACACTGGCATTCACTTAGAAGAGAGAAAAGGAGCCACACAGATATTTTGGAGGTAAGTACCTCTTTTCAGATGAACCTCTCTTTGCTGGGGAGCTTTGGCTAGGGTGGTGCTCCCTAAAGGAAGCAAGACACTGGAAGTTAAGTTTCCAGAGCTTAAGGCATTGAACAATCATGCTTTAACCCACATCCAGGGCATCTGACCTTCCAATTTTGTACTTTGCCAACTGCAGGAAGGAATTGTTGAAATCTGTTGAGTTGTCATGACAGACAGGGCCATATGGAAAGTGCTGGAAAAAGTCTTTCTTAGACTATAATTGCCTTGATGGGCAGAAACTCTGTGTTCTGTTCAGCTATGGAGTGTGCATGGCCCATGGTGCTGGAGGTAGTGTTCCAGGTTTCTTGTCCAAGGCAAAAGTCAACCCAATATTGAAATGGGGCAATGAAAATATTCTGCTTGCCTGAAGGAGACAATTATGTTTTACTTTCTTTTATTTATAGGCTCATGTTCCTTAATCCGTGAATATACATAATGTGTACACAGATTGATGATATAAAACAAAACAAAACCAAGAAATGGTTTTATGGTTTATTTGTAGTCAGCAGACAAAGTTGCCTCGGATGTGTTGTTCCCTCTAATCGAGCATCTAGTGCTGCGGAGAGTCCGAGCATGGAGGTCAGCCAGGCTCTGCAGCACAACAGTTGCAGGTCAAGCTCTGGAGCCAGATGTCTTGGGTGTGAATTCTGCTCCATAACTTCTTTTTTTTAATTTAATTTTAAATTGGTTTGTTTTGTTTTGCTGGGTTTTTGGGGGGGGGGGTGCAGGTAATTAGGTTTGTTTGTTTGTTTATTTATTTAATGGAGGTACTGGGGATTGGACCCAAGACCCAGGACCTCGTTCGTGCTAAGCACACACTCTACCACTGAGTTATACCCTCCCGCCTCCATAACTTCTTCACATCTCCGTGCTTCAGCCTTCCTATCTAGAAAACCACTACAATAATTGTACCTAACTCATCAACTTGTTATGAAAATTAAATACATTAATATAGACACATTTAAAAGTGCTTCAGATAGTGCCTCGCACATAGTAAGCACTAGAGAACTCTTGGTTGTAATTACTATGATTTGTAAATTTCTATTATCACTAAGAATCCAGGATTTTGTGCCATTGCACACGGTTCTCCATAATCAAAAAGTTGATTGCAAATTCAGCAAATTATCTCTCTCTCTCCTTCTTGTTCTTTCATTTTCTTCCTCTCTCCCCTTCTCTGTTTCTTTCTATTTCCTTTTCTCTTTTAATCTCTTCATTTAGAGCTCTGGCTTTATATCCACATTGTGATACTTGATATTTCCAGCCTTCCCTTTGTCGTGTTTTTAATGGCAGTGATGTGGGCAGGAGTTGTCCTGGGAAGAAGGGCAGGGCCGTGCTGTCCACATCCCAAGGATGAGAAGGCGATGCTTCGGTTGCTAGGGGCTCCCACTCCATACCACCCCCCACGCCCACCCAGAGGAAGGAGCATTTTTCTGTGTGGGGGCGGTACTCATGTTGGAAGGGGATGGTTGATGGTGTTATTTTTGTTCCCCACAAATGTGGATGTTTAAAATAGTGCTTTATTCAATCGGCATAAGTGACACATAAACTATGTATAGTGGTGGAACTGGGCCTGGCAGGTGATGAGGGCCAGATCTCACCCAACCAAGAGTCGTGGTTCTCCGCTGATAGCGCCCAAGGGATCTGCCCTGAGGATGGCCAGCACAGAACCCCCATCTTGGGTTGCCTGGCAAGTTCACTTGCACAACTACCGAAATGTCTAAAATGGAGGGACCTCAGAGCCAGTGAGCTGGGACCTTGGCTTCGTTTCCATGGGACATGCCAGTGGCTCACATTTCCTCTCTGAACCTCCCTCCAAGCCGCACTGTACTCATAAAGGGTAAGTGTATTCGTTGTTCTTTCGTGCCTTTTGACTCGGTGCCCTGCAGGTCTGGAATGCAGCCAGTGTAACCGAGTCGTCAGGCTGCAGATCAGGCTATATTTAATTGCAGGTTTATTGTCTTGCCATGGTTTTATAAGTTTAGGGAACTTTTTTGAGATTGTAGGGATTTGAATTTGTGTCAGTTTTGACTCATGTGCTCCTTTTTTAGTGACTATAATTAAAAAGTTTATTTAAAGTGTTGAGTTTTAAGTCTTTGAAAATTGCTCTTTTATACTTCAAGTCAACACAGTAAGGATTCTAGAAGGAATACTTCCTGTTTTTAAACAGATTATGTTTCATAAAGTGGAACTTTGGGGGAGGAGGGCTAGCGTATTTTACTCTATGAAAAGTTGTATTACCAGAACTCAACTGATTTGAGATGAAAGAGAAAGAAAATGTATAGATTTTGAGACAAACATAAAGCTACCATATGTCCAAGGGAGATTTTGAAGTCCTTCTGGAGTGTCCTTAATTGATTTGAAATGCAATCCTGAATTTGGATTTTATTTAAGAACAAGGGGGAAAAAAACATTTAATCATGTAAAAGATGGCAGTGAGTAAAGAATAATTTCATACTTGCTAGACATCATTGTAATAGATTACATAGGACATTTGGTTGACTTCAATTAGAACCCACGTGCCTCCTCCACCCCCCAACATTCTCTCTTCATCTCAGAGCCTCTTCTCTCTACCCTTAAGTGTGGTTTCAGTATGACTAGGGAATAGACACTAAAAATATTTCTGGAATGACGTGACCCACTCTTACCCCATCCAGGAAAGGGACAAGGCTTCACCAGAAACAGCACATGCTTTCCTTTCATTTCGGGGAGTCCCAGGGTCAACCTGCAGATGCTGCTCCTTCCGTGGCCGATGGCATTCAGACTCCTAGCTGCCGAAGGTTCCAGGCAAACAATTGGACAGAACAGCTCAGCTACGGGAAGCTGGTTACGGTCTCGGCCAGAGCAGCAGCCCCCTGGCCACAGACCACCTCTACCACCCCATCCAGGAGCCTTCCCACCTCCCTCAGTCTTGCCCGGGACCCGCTGCAGGGGCTGAAGAACTGGAAGGTGGTGGCAGCCGCCGCCGTGGCGCCTACAGCCTTGGGGCCATTCCAGGCACGTGGGACCCTGCTTCGGGCAACTCTGCAGCCCCTCCAGGGCCAGAGGGGGACCCAGGACAGCCCCAGTGCTCACCACAGTCTCTTCTTGTTGCTGAAACCCAGGCGAGCGCTCAGAATGGAAGCTGCCTCTCCTGAGCTGAATGTGCAGGCCAGACTGAAGGAGGTGGGGGACAGGGTGAGCAGAGCTCAAGATAGCCAGGAGCTAAAGCAGCAGCTGCGGCCACTTCCCAAGCCATCAGCCTCCTCCCAGCGAGAAGCAAAATATGTAGAGATGCGCGCTTCAGCGGGAGTCCAGAGGGAGAGTCCCCGGACTGTGAGACTCACGCTGGAGCAGAGCCCAGGGGATCGGAGGGGCTCCAGGAGTCCCAAGGAGAAAACCCAAGATGAACCCAGCAGTCAAGAGGGCGAGGCTCCAGCCCCCCAGAAGAATCCTGCCTCCTCGGAATTGTCCAGGTCCCAGGTCTCCCGCACTGATAAGGGCAGCAACCTCTCACCTTCATCCTTCTCCTCCTCCCCGGTGGACAAAGCAGAAGAAGGTGGCCTTTCCAAGATGGATGATACCACCACATCCACAGGGGCTCTGGCCACCTCGTCCTCATCGTTGGGCTTCGAGAGTGACAGCGGTGAGAATGCAGTGAGCTGTCGGCCTGGGGGAGAAGAAGGGAAAAAAGCAGGAGGAGGGGGAGGAAGAGGAGCAGGGAGAGGTGGGGGAGGAGGAGATGGAACAGAGTGCAGAGACATTATTGCCAAGTCTCAGGGCAGCAGGGACCCCCCCAAAACTCAGGAGGCTCACTACATCACCACCCATGAGATCCAGCTGAGCGAGGTAGAGCAGGACATGGATTTCGATGTGGGCTTGGCCTCCCGCTGGGATTTCGAGGACAACAACGTGATCTACTCATTCGTGGACTATGCTTCCTTTGGTGGCAGCGACGAGACCCCAGGGGACGTCACCACCCCGACCGAAGAGGACGACGACAACAGCTGCTACCTCAGCACCACTCCTAGCACCAACGCCACCCGGACACCCAGCCCCACCAGCAGTGACCCCGCCCGTCCCGGCGCAGGCAGCAGCGGCCGCGACACCAGCAGCACGGAAGTGGGCAGCGGCCCCTCGGACAGTGACCCCACTCCCCCACCCACCGGGCCTGGCACTGCCACCCCGTGTGAGCCCTTGCCGGAGCCCCCGGAGGCAGCTTCAGGCGCAGCAGCCGCCGCAAGCAGCTGTGGGAGTACAGCAAGCCAGATCCTCCTATCAATCAAACCGACTTCCCGGGCTATAAATGAGCCTAGCAACGTGTGTGCAAAGCAAAACATTATTTACGCTGCCAAGCATGAAGGCGACATGAGCCTCCGCGTCTCTACAGCTGCTGAACACAATTCAAGTTCACTGAAGCAAAACCCGGCTTCAGCCGTGGCTCAGGACCATGCAAAGAAATTCATTGCCGTCCCTGCTCGCCTGCAAACCCGGTGCGGGGCGATCCGGGCGAAGGAGCTGGTGGACTACTCCAGCGGAGCCTCCAGTGCCGTGAGCGAGCTGGACGATGCGGACAAAGAGGTGCGTAACCTGACCTCCCGGGCCTTCCGGAGCCTCGCTTACCCCTACTTTGAGGCTCTAAACATCAGCTCCCGGGAGTCCTCCGCACTCTCTGAAGTCGGCTTTGGGCGTTGGTCGACCTTCCTGGACTTGAAATGTGGAGGTGTTGGAGCCAGGGTGGAACAGAGCCTCCTCAGGAGCAGCGCAGCCTCCGTGGCTGCGGGTCTGAGGAAGGGCAGTGGGGCCAGGACAACCGCAGACCAGCTCTACATCCAGTCCAAGAAGTCCCAGACCAAGGCCTTGGAGTTCGTAGTCAGCAAAGTCGAGGGGGAAATCAAACACGTGGAGACACCTCTGTGTTTCCAGAAGCAGGTCCAGTCGGGCCCCCGTGTGGTCACCCTTCTCGAGCCTCTGAATTTACGCAGTGAGAGCAAAGCCAGCTCAGCCGCTGGACCCAACAGAGCCACAACCAAAGGCCCCAGCAAGGGCCCTGGGTCGGTGTACACCGATGATGGCTCAGAGACCTCTGAGAGCAGCAAGCCGGCCTCCCGCGCTGATGGCCCCCAGAAGAAGTCCAAGTTTGCTTCCAGTCTGCTCAAAAATGTCATCTCCAAGAAGATGCAGCGGGAGCATGAGTTCAAAATGGAGAGGGGAGAAGTCACTGACACATCCCACCATAACCTCTCCAGCACCTCCAAGGAGACTGAGCGCCCTCCTCCGGGGGGTGAGAAGCAGCGGGAAAGGGGCCTGCAGAGGCAGAGTTCTCGCCACTCAGAGGCCGGCTCTGAGTACACGGTGGTCAGCATGTCTGATGCAGGTGGGGAGGGGTCCCTAACCGAGTCGAAATCCCCAATTTTCAAAGCCAGTGCCCCTCGGGAGAGCCACACAGGCTCCAGCCGTAATTTCACTGATGGACACGCTGAAGAAGTGTGTGAAATTAAAAAGAGTGCATCAGAGACTGTCAAGGGCATCTTCCTCCGTAGTCAGAACAGTGCATTCCGGTCATGGAAGGAGAAAGAGGCTGAGAAGCGGGAAGAAAAAGCCCCCATTGGGAAGCTGAAACTCCCCAAAGGAGGTGACTGGAGGGCTGATCTCGGGGAGATCTCTGCCAGCAAGTCCACCATCATGTCTCGCCTCTTTGTCCCCAATATCCAGCAGACACCTAAGGACAAGCAGCCAGGGAAGCAGGCCACCAAATACCCTGCTGCCCAGGCCACCTCCACGGCAGTGATTAGGCCCAAGGCTCCTGAAATCAAGATCCGGCTGGGGAGTGTGCAACAGCCAAGCTCTGACTTCAACATTGCCAAGTTGCTCACGCCCAAACTGGCCAGTGGTAGCGCCTCTAACCTCTTCAAGACCACAGAGGACAACAGCAGGGCACAACAGAAACTATTCCGGGGGGACAACCTGGAAAAAGTGCCCCAGTTCCAGGTGAGAGACGTCAGAGACAAGTCCAAGGCCCAAGGCCCCCTCCACCAGGTGAGAGATGTCCGGAAACTAATCAAAGGGTCCGGGGACAGCAGTGACAAGGGCAGTGTTACCCCAGAGCAGGGGCTGACCGGGCCCAAACCCCGGCAGCTGGCTCCTGCAGCTGGTGGCTCAGGATCCCTGTCCCCCATGGTGATTACATGCCAGACTCTTGTCAACCAGAGGGAAGAGAGCATGGACCGAGAGCCGAGGGACAACATGGGCAAGGTGGGTAGCAGCCGGGCCTTGAACTCCTCCTCGCCAGAAGGGACTGTCCTGGTTCACAGGGCATCTGGCAGGCTGCCTGTGGCCACCATCGCTCCCAATAAACCGGAGCAGGGCTCATACCTGCCTGTGCTCAAGATTGTCTCCAAGGCTTCTGCTCAGAGGACCCCAGAGAAGGTCAAGGAGGAGGAGGTCAAGGAGGACGGGAAAGGCCCCAAGCCATCCCGGAATGCCCTGGAGAAGCTGACGGCCGCCGTGAGGTCCATGGAAGAGCTGTACAGCTTCAACAGGAACGAGTGGAAGCGGAAAAGTGACCCCTTGCCCCTGATGACCGACAGCCACGTCCTGTCGCTCATCGCCAGTGAGGAGAGGGAGGGGGCTGGGGGTGCTGAGCGGGACCCCGACAAGCTGGCTAGACGGCTGGGTGAGGCAGAAGAGCGGAGCACCGGAAACAAAGGCGGGGTGGTCCTGCGAGGGGGTCCCGTGGAGCGTCTGCAGCGGAGAAACTCCAACCCGAGCGCCGAGAGTGTGTCCGCCCGCGCGGCCGCCTTCGAGAACCTGGCCAGGGAACGGCCCCGGTCCCTGTATATTCCCCCCGTGCACAAGGATGTGGATAGAACCCAGCCCCTGCAGCCCCTGCCCCCCCTCCCCAGCAACCGGAATGTGTTCACAGTGAGTGCCAGCAGCACCCAGAAGACCGGGGGTGTGGCTGGCAAGTTCCCACAAGGGCCTTCTCCGGAGAGTCCTTCAGCAGCCAAGAGCATCAGATCACAGGGACTCCGATCCCTCAAGATCTCTCCCGCCACCAGGGCACCTCTCGAAGAGGTGACCAACAGGAAAAATGGCAGCAATTTGGAAAAGAGCAATAGTGACTGTGAGAATTACCTGACCATCCCCCTTAAAGGAAGCTCTGCAGCCGGGGAGCTTCCAGGCAGGCCTGGGGCTGGGAGGGAGGGGCCCCCAGCCTCCTCTGCAGCCACCCTCTGCAGCTTGCCCCCGCTGAGTGCCCGCAGTCAGGTCCCCAGTAGCCCCAAAGGCTCTCAGGTCAGCGGAACCAGCCGGCCAGCGTGGCGCACCAAACCTGACAACCCCCGGGAGACCGTCGCTGCCCCCCCAGGGCCACAGAGCCCTGAGCATCCCCCCACCGCCATCTACCGCCAGCAGCCGCTGCCCTTCACCCTGCAGGGGGCCCAGCCCCAGGTCCTCTGCTTCTCCCCGCCAGGCATGCCTGCCCCAGCCCCTGCAGGCCCAGCTCCAGTCCCCACAGACCCCTTCCAGCAGCCACAGCCTCAGCAGACCCAGCGCAAGATGCTCCTGGATGTGACGACTGGCCAGTACTATTTGGTGGACACGCCAGTACAGCCCATGACCCGGCGACTGTTTGACCCCGAGACAGGGCAGTATGTAGATGTGCCCATGACCTCCCAGCAGCAGGCTGTGGCTCCCATGTCCCTCCCTATGCCTCCTTTGGCCCTGAGTCCCGGGGCCTATGGACCCACCTACATGATCTACCCTGGGTTTCTGCCCACGGTGCTGCCCGCCAATGCCCTGCAGCCCACACCAATTGCTCACACTCCAGGGGGTGGTGAGCTCTCCCCCATGGCAGCAGAGCCCCCCAGCAAAGAGGCAGCGGCTGCATTCACCGAGGCCCCATACTTCATGGCCTCTCGTCAGTCTCCTGCCTCTTCCTCCTCTGCCCCAGCAGCCACAGCCCAGCTGGTGGGGGCCAAGGGCTTCGCCCAGCTGCATGGCAAGCCTGTCATCAGCATCACTTCGCAGCCCCTGGGGCCGCGGATCATTGCCCCCCCCTCCTTCGACGGCACCACCATGAGCTTTGTGGTGGAACACAGATGAGGAGAGGTCACCAGAAACCACAACGGAGCAGCTGGTGAGTGAATGTCACTTCAATAATCGGGTTTAAGGGATTAAAGGCAATTCTGTTTCATTGTGTTTGAAGTGGCAGATTTACAGCCCAGGAGGCTGTTTTTAGAAGTGGGCATTTCGGAAGAATAAAGCAAAACCCCATCCAAATTATTAAGGAGCTGATTTTCTAGCCAAGCTTCCTTCTCTCCACACTCCTCAGTCCAGTGGCTGGCCTCTCCCCTTTGACCTTTCCAAATTGCCTGAGTGTTTTTCCCACAGTGAGTAGGAGGGATGTGAACCTTGGATCTGTCAGGTTAGCCTTGGGTGAAGACTGGCAGGGGGAAGAAATGAAAACCCGGTCTGGATTTTGTGGAGTGAGCTTCGCTCTATTCCTGGCTGCCGCAGTGACAGAGGCACGTGCATCCACGGGAACACCGTCAATCAGGCTGCTCCTCAGGGCAGGGGGAGTCAAAGACTGATGTGTTCTTGTTAGGAGGTTGCTCTCAAATCTGCAGAAAGGCTTCTTTCCCTCCACCACATCTTCCTCTTAAAGATTCTTATACAAAGAGACTGTATTTTTAAGCTCCTGTTTTTGTTTTCAGACAATCAGAATACTTTTTTCTTAGGCGAGGCCAGGGTCTTTAAGGTACCACACACACACACACACACACAGCATGACCACTACAAGGGGGGAAAATTCCAGAGCTTTGGTGGCTCCTTGGATAGAGATGCTGTGTTTGATCTAGTCTGTTCAGACGAATCCACTGTGCTCTACTGTGAATCCCTACAGGGGCTCCTTTTCATATCTGCATTCTCTCCCTTTGGAAAGAATCAAATTCGCCTTGCTCCCTCTAAAGGGAATCAGATAGAGTAGTTTCCTGACACCTACCGAGTTAATCCAAATTCAGACAGGAATCCTTGCTGTAACCACACAGTCTGTGAAACTTGGCAGAAAAGGTGAGCTTGGCTTTCCCTGAACCAGACACTTCAGGTCAAACACATAAGACAGAAGCCACCTTCTGATACAGCAAAAAGCTGCCAGCACTGTGGGGACAAATTTGCGCCCTCATTCCCCTGTCCTCCTCAGAGCAGGGAGGACATCATTAATGCCCTGGGGCTTTCACTCCTTGGCAAGATCATAAGAACGGCGATAATGGGGAGAGAAAATCTTTGCCTACAGGAAAGAAAGAAACCATTCCTCCCCTGTCTGAGCTGAAAAGCAGTAGAGGAACATCATTTCTTTGTGCAGTGAAAGAGTCTAAAATTAGGATGCAGAATCATTAGATTAGAGTCACAGCGATTTCTCACCAGCTGTGTTCTTGGGCATGCATGACACTCATGGGTCAATAATATCTACGTAAAATTTATCTGAACGCCAGATAACAGTGTATTGCAAAATTAAGGGATTGTTACTCTGCATCGTATTTACTGGACTGCAGGACAACATTCGGCCACTGTTCAGAAATCCTTGGGTCTTTCTCAGAGCAATCAGGTGAAAGCGTAAGTCTCATTTTACTTACAGTCTAGAAGTAGATGATTGGAATTCTTCCTTTCCAAGAATTTGCAACAAGCACTGTGTGAATCACAGATAAAGAGGGCAGGGGAGGATTAAAGATAAATAATGTTCAGTTAGAAAATTTTTTTAAATGCATGTGGAAGAGGCTCAGAATTAAAGAATCAGTTTTGCAGAAGGAAAAGTGTAGCCTCTGCACAAAAGCGTCTTCATCTTCTGGACAGGTAGGGTGTTTACCTAAGGCTATTTTGGAGCAGCTAATCCTCCAAGGCCTTTCTGTGAGCTGTGGAGGTGCAGAGCAAGGGGAAGGGAGGACAGGGCTCAGAGGAGGGAGGAACCGGGCACACATTCACATCGTGTCCCCTTGGCAGCTGCCTTTGGCCTTGCTCCTGTCTGCTGAGCCTGGAGAGATTAGCCCTGGAGTTGTATCAGACACAGATACAAATCAGAGTTTTTCATATGGGAGATTTGAACAATGATGTCTCTGAAAGCTTTTCCCTTCTTCAGCCTTTATTTTAGTCCATAGCCCTCAAGACAGACAGAAAGGCAAAAGCTGGCTTCCTGATTTGACTGGTCAGGAACTAATTAGTAGCTTTTTGCATACAGGCAAAAATCCAATGACCCAAATTCAGATAATAGCTCAAATCTCCCTGCAAGTTCTGTGCCACCTTCCAAAGAAAAGCCAGATACATAAAAAAGACGTGTATAGTACTTTTCCTTATGTGGAAAAAAATTCCAACAGTGTTCGGATTCATCAAAAATTACATTGTACACACTCATTCATCAGTGGGTATTCATGCAGATGATCAGAGTGACAAGTCTTGGAAGCTGGTTTCAGTTTAAGACTTCTTTTGAATACTAGGCTTATTTCAGAGTTTCTCCTTAAGGTAAATAGGGTTTCATGTGCCCTTTTCAACTAAGCAGTCACATAAATGATTTGATCCAAGCACAGCATTTCACAGAGAAGACTGGGGCTTAGAAGGAGATGGTTTTGCTGAGGTCCCCAGGCAGTGAGAGAGCCAGGCAGGCCCCGTGGGGCTGGCTCCCAGCTCCTGGACCAGGCCTTGTGCCCTGCGGGCCGCTGCTTGTTCCTTGGTAGGAGACAGGGAGCAAACGGAGGATGGCAGACGAGTGGAATGAGCTCTGACCTGGCAGCCAGAACACCTGGATCTGCTGTGCCTCTCCGAACATTTGTAAATGAATGTCTGAAATGCAGTAATTCCCTCATTCATTCTACAAATTACGTGTTTACTGTCTGCCAGTCATGGTGTACTACTCTGCGGTGAGGCTATAAGCCCACATGTGACCTGGTACCATCCCACAGGTCCGGAGCCTACACTCCAGCTGGAGGACACAGACCTGGACACACAGAACCCCAAAGCCAGTGTTCAAGGCCTGCGTTAACCTTTAAGAATCCTTCCAGCTCCAATAATAAGCATTTCATCATCTATTTTTAGCTGTACATTGTAACAGGGAGCCCTGCTTTCTCCCCCATAAAGATCCAAGCACAGCCAGCCGCTGCTGCGCTCTGAGTATTCCGTTATGAGTCTCCCTCTAGTTCTGCTTCTGTAGCTGAGTCTTTCCCACTTCTTTTCTGCCTGTGGTCAAAGCTGCAGTCCTCCTCAAACTTTGCCAGGTCACAACCCCCCTCAGAAGATAATTAGAATATTATTTATGTTCTTTTTTCTTTAGTAAGGACATCACACATTATGAGGAATGGACAAGGCTGTTGACAGCCAGTGGCCCAGTGGCTAGAGAGTCACAACAGGAACCCGTCTGGCACACACCAGTATGCCAGGCTCACCAGTCTAAACTTCTCTATTTCCTCTTTTTTTTGTTAGGCCTTTTGTGTTTTAGGCCTTTGTTGTTTGTTGATTTTTGTTTTGAAAGTCGCTTCTCCCCGGGATCTTTGATGCCCTTCCTGGTGAGATGGTTTTGGTTTGGGTTTTCTGCTGCCCAGGGCAGGTAGCTGACTTGTTCCCTCTCCTGCTTCCTCCTGCCCACCCACTTAGATGCCATATTTATTTTAAAATTTTATTTGAAACTTGCTACTAAATACCATTTACAAAGGCATAAAGATAAATATGTAATAATAGCAGCAGAAGACTTTCACTGGCACCATGCCTGCTACCCGGTGGGTATTGCAATTATTTTGTTTTGTTTGAATATGGTTTTTTTCAGTAAAACTTAACCCATTTTCTTCTCCTTTTCTGAGTGTGCTTTATGCCGTTTCTACATTGTTAGTCCTTCTTTCCTCCCTACTTCCTCAGAGTTATTTGTACCCCTTAAGCATAACCCCACACATCTGAAGGAGAAAGAGAAACGGGGCTGGATTCAGGGCGAACTGTTTTTGTAGAGTTTTCTAAGGGGGCCTCAAAGGATCCTTAGATTATCAAACCATGTCCCACGATGTTAAAATTGCAGAAGGAAATTGAGGCTCAGAGAGGTTAAGTGACTCCTCTTAAGTCACAGTGTCCCTTTGGGGCAGAGTTGGGATCAAAATCTGAATTATCACCAGACCGGAGTCTACTTTCTATTTGCTTCCTTCTTACAGCTGCCCAGTCCCTTTCTCTTTGTCCTGCCAGGACCGCTCTCCTTTGGTGGTCCTCCTTCCTGGAATCGGGCCCATGAGCTTACGTCTCCTTCTTTCTTCTCTTGCCATTTATTTGAGAATTTATTTTCTGTTCTCTGTTTTGTGTTTTTTATTTTAAATTCCCTATTGTGGCTTCTCCTTCCCATTCACTTGACTGTTGATGTAGTTCAGCGCCCCACCTTGCTTGTTCTCTTCTCCTCTCCTCCCTTTTTGCTTGAGCTTTGCTGTTATCACAGGCTGGACAGCCTCAAGGGTGGGCTGGGGGTGGGGGGGACTGTGGCTCCCTCACCTGCACGTTCTCCCCACCTGTGCCTGAGGCCAGGCCGTGGGGCTGCAGGCTGCAAGCTCCACGTTTCCTTTTCAGCTCACATTGTATTACGTTTCTGAAGCAATTCATTTATTTCTAATTTTTTCCCCTAACTTGATTGTGGCTTCCTCTCCCAATTATTATATAGAGCCACTGTTTTATTTTATTATCTTCCTCATGTCTTTTTCATCGTTTCTTTTCTCTGTTTCTCTTTTCTTGGATTGCAGCTTTCCCCACTTTTATTATTTTGTGCCTTTCTCCACAATTTTATTGCCTGTATATTTTCTTCTTGACCCTCTATAAAATTAATAAAAAATGAAAAGTAATAGCTAATGTGTATTAATCATTTATTATTATTTAGAAGATTTAATATCATTTATTACTTATGAAGATTTAACATCATGCTACCTGATCCTTTAAACCACTGGGTACTATTCTTATCCTTAATTGACAAATGAAAAAAGAACTTGTCCCAGATCAATAGATCAACTGAAATACAGGCCCTTCAAGTTCGGTGGCCCGTGCTCTGAGATGACCCCTGGTTTGCACACTTTCTCCCTCTCTGCCCTCCTCGTCTTGGTTCCTTGTTGTGAATTGTCACTGTTCCCTTATTTGGAAAAAGATTAAGACACTGACCCTGGATCTGGTGGTCTAGTATATACTAAGCTTCTATGTGTGTTTTTCTTTTGATTAAAAAGTTAGCTCTCCTTAGTCATTAAAACATCGTATGCCCCAAAGAGAAAGTTTCCTCACTTCTAGGGGCTGTGGCTCCCAGTCTGTGTGTGTGTTGCAGGGGGAGGGGGTAGACGGGTGGTGGGATGTCACCTGAGAGTGGGATCTCCCCACTGGATGCCAATGGGTTCATGCATTGCAGTCGAAGGGGAGCTGAGTAGCTTTGCCCAAAGTCCAGATACGTGCACCTTGGAGTCAGGCAGCCTCAGCTCAAAATCTTACTCCTCTGGGCAAGTGACCTGCCCTTTCTAGACCTCAGTTTCCTCAACTGTAAAATGGGGATACTTTGCAGGAGTGTTGTGAAAATTGAATTGTAAAATCACTGCAAAAGACATATCACACAGTCCACGGCATGGACTAAGAGTTCAATCTCCCTTGGAGACTAGAACCTTATAAATGCCTCACAAGCCCCTGTTCTCTTAGGGGCCTCCCCCAGGGCAGAAAGTCAGCTCTTATTCATGCAGACACTCAGGGCAACACCAGGGGCTCATACGCAAGACCGCTTGATATTTCCCCAAACCAGGCCATGCCCACAGCTCTGTAGTCCCCTTGGCGCTGCCTGATCCCTTGGGACAGGCCAGTTGGCTGTGGCCAGGGGACTCTAGTATCCCCTACAGCTTTCCAGCACATTATACAGCTCTGGGTACAGTTTGCCAGCTGCATGTCATGATTTTCCTCTCTGTCTGGGCGCAGGCCTGTGTGAAGCAAGGGAAAATCTGACCCAGCATCCCCGCTGAACTCTGTCATGTGTTCTGGTCCTAAAATCGTGGGACACCATCCAAGCCAAACTGCCTGATGCCACAGTGTGGTCACTGTCTCGTCTTCACAGACTTCTTCATGACCCTCTGATAGGTTAAATTGGCTGTTTTTATTATTTTATTCTTAAGAGGAATTGGAGCAACTGCATTACTTTCAAGATTTCAAACAAAATTCCTCTGAAGTGAATATAAGCTGAAGCAATATCTTGTGAATGAACGAAAAGGCCATATCTAGACTATGGGCCCTTAAAAAGGGGCCAGCGGTTTATAGAAGTAGATTTCTCCTCTGAATCTCAGACTGCTCCCCCACCCTGTAGTGTTCCCCGTCTCCCCCTCTCTTTCTCCCCTCTCTCTGTGCTGCCTCTGCTAAAGGAGTCTTTGCAAACCTTGCTTCATGATGGGACTCAGCCTGAGTTGTGGTTAGATCCTTGGATCATCACTGAAATTATTCTTCTTGGCCATATATTGTCTTCTCCTCCCCTTGCAGTTATATTTTCTTTTCCTGTTGCTGCTCTGTGTCTCATAAGGTAGAAAAACTTAAGTTTAGCAAATGAGAAGTTTCCAAACCCACAACAGTCCCTTTAGTCTTGAAAGTCATTTCTTGATATAAAATACAAAAGAGTAAAATCAACAAATTTGAAGTGTATATATATATATATATATGAGCTATAAATCCATAATGAGACTTATAGACTTCTTTTTTCTTAAGCATGTGTTTAACACAGGCCAGTTTCTAGATGGCAGGATTAAAATAGCCTTTGCCACATGACTTTGATTGCATATAATTGATTAGATAGCTGTTATTTGAAACTTCTTGGAGGTTATTTTTCACATGATAGAGCCCTCTTAATCCTTAACAAATATTACCTGTAGGTCACTCTATTTCTGTCTCCATTGATATTAAGTCCAAATACCAACTCCCAAATGTTAATTTTAAAAGTTCTTTAGGCAAAATCCTGATAGATAAACTAT